CTCTCAACACTCTTGTGTTCTTTCCTTCCTATGTTAGTTAATACTGCCCAGAATTTTTGATCCAGATGTTATGGCTGTACTTTTTTCTTTATTATGGTATATTATAAATAGCAATGAACTTTTTCACCTTCCTTTACATCTTATATCTACTTGCTTACTCATGCATTTCTTTCATTTTTCACCGGAGTAAATCCTCCAAGATGATTTTTCAGAGAAATATTGTATGCTTACTCTTTGAGACCTTAAATGCCTACAAGTATATTTATTTTGCCCTCACTTTTAAATAAAAGTTTAATTAGATATAAAATTCTGTTTCATGTTTCAAAGTTCTCTTTATCAACACTGTCAAGGTAGTATTCCATTGTCTGAATTCTGATGTCAGTCTGATTCTTTACTTTGCAAATGACCTCTATTTTCTTTTTGAGTATTTCAGAATTTTCTCTTTGTTTCTTAGTGTTCTTAAATTTCCCTTAGATGTGTATATATTCTCCTATTTTGTACTCTATGCACCCTTTTCATCTGCAGACCTATAACTTAGTATAATTCTGGCTAATTTTTGTTACTATTTCTTACTCTTTTCTCTCTCCTGGAAATCTTACTGATACTCTTGACACTTTTTTATCATCTATATTTCTTGACTTTTCTCTCATTATTTCCAATTTTTTATCTCTCCCTGATACGCCTGGGAACATTCTTCAACCTGGCATTCCAGTTTACTAAGCTGTCCTTAGTGTATCTTTTCTGCTTTTCTAACCCATTGACTTCATATTAACAATGATTGTTTTGTGGGAATACCTACAATTGGTTTTTCTCTATAATTGCTTGCAGATTCTTCATGTTTCTAATACTCTCCTTATGATTCTGAAACCATTATTATGTTTAATGTAAATACTGTTCTGTGCCCTCCATTATATTTGACCTCCTCTAGTGTACATTGTTTCCTTTTTCTACTTCTTTTATAGTACTTAAACTCTCAGAGGTATCCATCTTTTTTTTTTTCCATGTACACATACTTTCTTTGATTTACTAAGAGCCACTTAGGAAAAGGGATAAAAGCCTTGACTCTAGGTTGTGCCTTTACAGGTGATATAATGGTTGGAGGGGAGGAAGCCGCCCACAGTGTGTAATCTGGGATCCGCCACTGCTGCTCTTTGCCATAGCTGTGCTTTTTACCGCGGAACATGCACTACCTCCTTCCCAAGCATTATCCTTATCAGGTGGCCGCCTCTTTCTGATGTAATTGCCAGGTCAGTCGTTGAGATGGGGGCAAGTGACTGCTTAGGCGATGTCCAGACTCCTGCATGGATTATGGCTACGGGATTCCCTCATCCCAGCTGAGCTCTAGAGCTACTCTGTCAAGTTCACAGGCTTGGGCTGGCATTGAGCACATTCTGCTGCTTCCTGCCCTACAGAAGGTAGGGAGGGCACCAATCCCTCCGAACACTATGGGTTCTGGCCCTCACCCAATGCAGGCTACCATATACTCTCTACAGGAGGCCTACCCACTTTCTTTCTTTACCAGTGTTTCTTCAAGATTCTGTATGATTTTTTGAGTATGTCTTAAGAGTCAAAACTTCAGCCTTCCTCTCTCTTTTATGTTACCTGTATGTTTGAATTCAGGGGAGGGGACAAGTGACTTATTCTGGTTTGTCATTTGTTGCTTGTAAGACCATATGTGCAAGTACTTTGTATTCCATAAAGCATTCTGTCAATGTTGGTAATTGTCATTTTTCTCATTTTTATTATTCATTACATAAATTACTGGCATGCCTATATTTCTTTTGTGCCTCCTGTTTTCAGTGAAATGTCAAAGAAGAAAATTATTTATCTGCATACTCTAATTTAAAAAGCCCTTTCTTTCTGTTGAATCAAGTTCTACTTATAAATGTATAGTATTGTTGGTTTTTTGGAAACAGCTTTATTAAAATGTAACTCATACACCTACAGTTCACGAATTTAACTTGTATACTTTGATAGTTTTTAGTACATTACAGAGTTGTGTAACCATGACCAAAATCAATTTTAGAACATATTCGTCATCCCCAAAGAAAACTCTACACCTTTAGCGGTCACCCCCTAACCCCCTATCCCATTCTCCCCCAGCACTCTATCTCAGCCCTAGGCACCCTCAGACCTAAGTAAGCATAATACACTTTTTGTCATTTTAGATTTTCCTATTCTACATTTTCATTTCATATGAATGCAGCTGTACAATATATGTTCTTTTCTAACTGGCTTCCTCCTCTTAGCGTAACATTTTCAAAGTTGATTCATATTGCGGCTTAATTCCTTTTTATTGCCAAATAATATTCTGTTGTAAGGAGATAGCGTGTTTTGTTTATATGTTAATCAGTTGATGGTCATTTGGGTTGTTTCCACTGTTTGGATATTTTGAGAAATGCTACTGTGAATGTTTGTGTACAAATTTCTGTATGGGCATATGTTTTCATTTCTTTTGGGAATGTAACTAAGAATAGAATTGCTGAGTCATATGGTAATTTTTCATTATTTGCCTTTCCTCATTGAAAGATCTAGGGGCCCTTCTTGAAAATAATTGACCATCATTGTGGGGCTTATTTCTTGGTTCTGAGTTCTATTCCACTGATCTGTAGGTCTATCATATGACAGTACCACACTATTTTGATTAGCTTTGTAGTGAGTTTTAGGATTAGAAAATGTGAATCCTCCAGCTTTGTTCTTTTGAAATTATTTTGGTTCTTTTGGATCCCATGAATTTCCACAATTATTTTAGGATAAGTTTGTCAATTTCTACAAAGAAGCCCACTGGTATTTAGATAAAGCTGCGTTCAACCTGTAGATCAGTTTGGGGGAATATATAATATTTTAACATTCCCTTTATTTAGGTAGTTGTTTTGTTAATTAAATACCTTTATGCTCCATGTTCAAAATCCTAAAATCAATATAAGCTTAATATTCATCTTGATAAA